TCCATGGCTGTTGCACTGATGTCCAAAGAACCACTAATTGGATTTTAATGACACTTCTAAAGAGTACCCATCACATTTCAATGAACCTAGACTATACACCATATTAGTTTTTGGTAAATATGTATGCTTCTTAATCACCTAATTAATACTGGTATCTCAAGTACTGATCATCACATTTGGTACATAAATGCTCTAGGACAATAGACAGCCTGATTAATTTTGGGTTAAAATCTGTTCATATTAATTCTCTAATTAGTATAAGAATATTTTTTTGGTTCTAATCACATTTCAATGAAACTTGGTACATAGTTATTACATTACGCAGATCTGTTCATATGAGTTACCTTATTATTTTTCAGCTTTTGATATTTCAAGTAATTTTGAATGTGTCTCCAATACTCTCAGCACATGGGAGTTCTTTCTAAGCTTTCTTTGATTAATACTCTCAGCACATGGGAGTTCTTTCTAAGGATTTTTTGCTTGCTGATGCTCATATGGCAAGATTTCAGTATCACAAAATTAATATTTGATGTGAAGCATAATTATGTAGAGACCTCCTACTGCACTATTGTCGTAAATTGGTAAAAACAAATACACTAACTGGATACCTAAAGACTATCTGGTATGGCCTTAACAACCAAATCTCATTGTTTGCAGGGGATGAGAAGACTAGCAGAACTAATCAAAGATGAACTCAACAAATAATAATCATTTAATTAAAAAGTGTATATTTCATTAAAACATGCAGTGTGTAAGTTTTTAATCAAATCGATAATCTCCAACAGAGTCATGATGCATTCATATGGTTTCCTAGACAGTGTTTTGATCCCCCAATGGGGTGCTGTTTTCTTTAGAATGTTTGAAAGCCATGGCAGGATTAAATTTCTTTCTGCTGTCTTGTTTATATCCTAATTCTCCGAGTTGTCTTTGCTGTTTTGTTGTCTGCTCTCGTAGCTTCATAACTTCCTACAAGAAGAAGACATTCATTTCAATTATTGCAATATGACCTTTGCCCTAACCTTCTCACTCTATCATAAATTCACGAAATAGTCCCATTTTTCTTCAGAAGAATGGGACAAAAACAGTAAAAACTGAAAATCAACTCAAAATTTGTGTTTGAGAAATATTGTAGAATATAGGAAAAAGAGTGCAGACAATTTGGGGTGAAAGTCATGGTTAAACTACCAGGTCTTAATCAAAATTTGTATTTTATGAAAGGCATCTGACATTCAAAGGGTTAAATACTTGCCTCTTTAAGTGATAGATTCTCTTCTTTTAGTTTCAATACATGTTGTATTTTCTGTTTATTATTTTGATGTCCCAGCAATTTGGCATACTGTGTGCTTAGTTGCTGTACTTCAGTTTTGGCTTGACAGTTTTGACTCAGTAGGAGATTCTTCTCAGCAGCAAATGCATCCAATTGTACCTGGTAAATTAAACACTCAAGATTTAGTCTTGTATTCACAAGCCATAATAGTACTGTTCATATTTCCATGATGGCTCTCCCTATACCTGCCAGTGCAGCTTACATACAGTAAATAATAATAAAATAATATTTATTCACCTGAAAAGGCTTTACTTTTTCCTGTAGATTTTCAAACAATGTTTTCCATCTGTAATGAAATCAAAAATTATTTCCTACAAGTTCCTTATTATATACCAGATAATGGAAACAATCATTGTCATATTGTTCAGAACACTAAAACAGCAACAGCTTACTTGTTTGTTATGACCATCTCAAGACAGGATTATAACTGGTTAGATTAAATCACTTTTACCAGAGTGCGCCGTTAGGCTAAATATGCTCATTAACTAGTGTTGTGACATTTCATCATACTGTGTCAGTACATACATTTATTATATACAAATGCAATTCCATCAAGTCTGCCACTTTTAGTTCGACGTCACTGTTCCAATCGTTTAACGATCTCTAAGAATACACATAGTAATTCAGCAACTTAGCTGACAATATTGCTGTTTTTGGAACAATATGGCAGTAAGATCACTTCATTGTTTTTTCAAAATAAAAATAATTTTTGTGATGTAAATTCCCAAGTTGTGTCTACAATAAAACTTGACCTTGTTTTATTCTGATGTCTGTTTCCAATTTAATAAATAACAAATAATGGTGTGCACTCAATCCTTTCACATTTGCAATGAATAAACGACAATTATAAGTTAATTTTGTATTTCTATGCAATATTTGATGCAAAGGTGACAATGAATTGTAAAATGTAAAACATTGAGATGATGGCCCGTTTTTGACATATGGAATAATATACAATGAAGTCCAGAGATGACATTGTCCCTGTACTTGACATTTGGCATAATATACTATGAAGAAACTGAGATGACTGCCCGTCTTTGGAATAATATAGTCCCTGTACTTGACATTTGCAATAAAATACAATGAAGACACTAAGATGACTGTCAGTCTTTGAAATTTTGAATAATATACAATGAAGTCCAGAAATGACATAGTCCCTGTACTTGACATTTGGCATAATATACTATAAAGTCACTGAGATGACATAGTCCCTGTACTATGAAGTCACTGAGAACTACTGGGAAATTTTGATATGGTGGTTGTAACACACCAAGAGAAGGTATATAGAACACCCATTCCCATTGATGTTTGCAGCAGTTGCCCGTCACTGTACCCCAATGACTTTGCTTTCATAATATAGTTGATAAATCAAAGTAGAAATGTTACCAAAGCACTCTAATATTTATGTTTCATCTAAGAAACAGTTGTGGATTGCATGATTTGTACATGTTCTAATAACATTCATTTTACATGCTAAAAAAACAAATGTGTGTTTAAGTTGTTATTATGGCATGATATTCAATAACAGGATTGCCAAGGCATGTAAAACTGGGATCCTTATTGAATATGTGACACACATATGTCTACTTACTTGGTAACATCCTCTTGTAGTTCTTCTAATGCTGATTCATTCACACTGCTGTAAACAGTAATCACATATCAGAGTTGTGTTTAAAATAGATGCACTGACATATATGTATAAATATATTAAGGATGTATGCTACAAAATAAAAAACCCATGGAAAATCGTTTAAAATACTACAGGTGTACAGGACATGTTACTCTAAACTCATAGAAAAGAAAAAAACATGGGGTTAATGTACTAATTTTTAAGATACACAACTCACAATTATGCTGAGTCAGCATTTTTAAGTAGCTTTAATAAATAACTTAAGTTGTCATTTATACTCGGTCTTAATCCACATTTTTACTGAAATTGGTTTTATCCTATCAGCACATAATATGAGTTCATATTTAAATTCAATTCTAATGAATTTAAGAAATTACCTATTTAAAGAAAACAATAGTTTCCTTCATTTGGTTTTGTATTTTAGATAAAAAAATTCATAGAAACTGTCCTACAAAAAATTTCATCCATGGAAATCTCTTGAAATTGTGTATATGTCGAGTGCTTATGAAGTTATTCCATATTATACATTGAAAATGGTATGTTAATGCACTACTTTTTGAGAAATAATTAGTTTAATTGTCAGTTTCAATAAT